AATTTCTCCGCGAAACAACGTCTGGAATTCACGTATTCTCGGGTCCATCAGTTATATCCATTAGAAAAACAGAGAGCTTTAAAAAAAAGACCGTTAAACCTTTGGATCTTTAAATCTTCGAATTCCCCTGGCGTTTGAGAGTTCACACGCGAAAACCGATGAAGCTTTTGCTGCAATCTGCTGTAATTGATCGTGGAAACTTCAGGTCGGATCTCATGATCGGCAGAAGGACGACGAAATTACAGATCCTTTATGATATTTGACAAAAGAGCAGACACCCTTCGGCGCAATTTAATTCCTCGTCGCGAGAATCCACCCCCTCATATCCCCAATAGAAAAACGAGAATCATGCGACAGGCCGGTGTGTCTGTCTATACGCGGCGCGCAAGTGGGTTAATTAAAATCTTCGCCGAAGTGTTCCGCCGACTGCGCCTACTATCTGACGGATTTATCGTTAATCGCCGCTAACTAAGAATGATCGACGAGACAATAACGACTATTGCTTGCATTATTTTAGACGCCTATTGTGCTCTCAAGACCTACCGTGAAGTAGGTCCGACGTCCCTCTTTTATCGTCGCGCAATAAACCTGAGATAAAATTAATAGAAGACAAAAAATAATTTTTTGGAGCAAAGATTTCCGAGCAAGAATGAGATAGAACCGTTACTTGTATAGTCTATCTTCGATGCCAAAGTATGAAACTGATCTTACAAATCACGGATATTTTTTTCATTTTTTTTTAACTCAATTTTTATATTACAAACTACGAAATTTCTGAGCATTTATAATTTCTAAAAAACATAAACTGCCTCCGTTTCTCTCGCGTATCGTGCGACGGGAAACATCGCGTTTGCAACACTATTAATACACTTACATGGACGCGCGCTGCACATATGCGTTCCGCGCTCGTCAAACGACACGTTACGCTCGACTTCCGCTTCCGTTCCCCATAGTCGCGTTCGCGGCGTATGAAGAACAGCACCTGCTCGAGCTGCATTCGCAATTCGTAATTTGCGCGGTATGAAACGGCAACACAATAAACAGTCGCACTCTCGAATAAATATTTCATCCAAGTTAATATTGCGTCAAAACGCGAAATTTGTGCGATGGCCGAGCTAGGCTACTTGGTCCTTCGTGCAGACCTTGCTAATCAGGTAATATCGAATAATAAAATTAAAATTTAGTCAAAGCGAGCAAATTGTTGATTTTACTTGGTAATTTTATCGTTATATTAAAACGTGAAATTGCAGGAAAATATGAAATTTGATCTCTTGGTTTCTTTCGCGCTGAAAAAGAAAGAAAAAAGAAAAAAAAAGAAAGCTGATGGAGATCTTATATTCTCATGTGGCCTTCCAAATTTTTCTTATTCCGATTGCACGGTGGCTGCTCCTTTGAATTTGCATATTACTTATAAGTAATCTTGATTAAATAAAACGGTTGAAAAGATCGATAATTAAATCAACAATTAAATGAAGAGAAACAGATATCGCAATAAATTACCGTGACTAAGCCGGGTAAAAGAGAGGAAGATAGAGTATTTCTTCATGCAGCCGAGCTAATTATGCACGGCTCTGCTAATTTTTGTACCTGCAAAGCATAATGGGAAGAGATTCAAGTGGCTACGGAAGTGGGATTGCTGTCATTGCCTTTTATTCTCGCCGAATCAGCAACAACCTCTTTTTCTCGAGTCTGAATCAATACACGTGAATTGTCACGTCGCGATACCGAAGCGAGTTTACCCTTTCTTTCGGAAAGATCCTCTCGATCCAATCGATCGTCGTAATTGACGTTGATTTGCGAAGAATAGCATCTGTTCGAATTGCAATTTGCATCGCAAAAACAATGCAACAAGCAGCTTTATTTTTAAATTAATTTCACCTAAATGAATATTATATAAACTACGTTGAAAGCGCGAAAATTATGCAACAACTTAGCTGGAATCCCTTTTATGCTCGTTGTTTATGCAAGTAATGTCAAATAAACATTTAATCGAAGTAATTGCAAGTCGCTAATCTGACTTGGTGATTTCATTGTGGTTAAAGTTTGTACGAGAAAAAATTATATACGGTGCACAGAAAATCACGTACTAATATTCATAAGGATAGGGGGGGGGGGGAGGACTTTATGTCAGTGCATACACACAGGACCTGATTGTAAAAATAAAACATTTAAACATAATGTTTACGTAACGTCGTTTATATATCACCACAAAATGTACAATATAGTAGATATTTGACAGCTACCACTACGAGTACTAGGGTGCGTAATAAAAATGCTTGGATGTATATATACATATATATATATGTACAATACGATATTGGGACGAGAGTCCCCCGTGATGCCACGTCACCGAATCCTCATTTATACCCTTTAACCCACGCCCTCGTACGTATGTCACGTATGTGATATAACGCGCGAGAGAAGTATGTTCTAGAAATTTACACAAAATTTACATGAGACTGTTGACCTAATAACGCGCTTAACCACGCGTTCGTTAAATATTAGATCATATCCATGTTGTTTCAATTTAACCAAACAATTACCGTTATATCGTCGTGCCTCGATAAATTTATTTCGATAATATGTTATTGACATTGTAATTTATATTATTGTACTATATACGAAATGTAATATTTCGAATGTTTAATCGCTTAATGTATTCATCAAGAGGAACTCGAAATAGGAATCGCATCGCGCGATCGGCACCGAAGCATGCTCAACACCGATCGATCGTTCCCACTCGTTATATCGCTGACCGTTCTGACGTGAGCAATCACGAGCGAGCATCGCGTTTTCGTAAAAAAATATAAATAAAAAACTAAAATAAAAAGGTGCATAACAACCAAAAGTGAAAGTTATATTTTCGTTATTAATTGTTTTCACGATTAAAAATATTAGATTAATAAAAAAACTCCGTTCATTTTTTGATACATAAAGAGAGCCACATTTTTGTTCAATTTATATTTTTCTATGAAAACACATGCAAAACATCATCGGAATTTATAAGCTCATTAATTATATGTCTTTGACATATTTAGGATTATACATACATTGTAATCTGGTTTCGATCAGATTGAAAATAATAATATATCTATTTATTTTAGTTACATCTTTTGGCATCTAATGTGAAATAGGTGTATTTTTAGGCCTTAATAAAAGAAAACATTAAAAGAAAATAATATGTAACAAAGTATGGAGTGCAACTAAAATGAACAGATTGAAAGTATTTGTATTTTGTAACAAAGTATGGAGTGCAACTAAAATGAACAGATTGAAAGTATTTGTATTTTTGCACATTTCTACACAGCTGTAACACATATAACATTTTCTACGTCTAAAATATTTACATTTCAGGTTTTGGCGGTAGGAAAGAGTGAAGAGGAACACGGCGAGGAGTGAAACTAAAAGAAACTGATTAAAAGCTTACAAGCAAGGGGACGCGTTTTCCCTCCCCGCGCAGGCACCGGGTCGGAGTCACGCCGTTCGGGGTCAATAACACTCGATATTCCCCTAGGAAGCGTCCCTAACCTTTGGCATCCTGCTGGAAGGTAGCGTCTCTATTCTATGTTTCATAACAGAAAGCAGTCAAAAATGCCGTGCACTCAAGGGATGAATCGCACCACGGTGGCTCTCGGAACGATCGATCGGAGTACATAGATCGCTGATGTTCTATAAATCGACGCGACGCGCGTCTCGTCATCGGGACGCGCGTCCTCTTTCCCGTCAACATGGCCGCTCTATTCGCAGTATTTTTAACTCGTCGGCTCACACTCACCAGGTATTGCTTGCAATGTTTTTTATGCTTAACGCAGGTGGAACGCTTCTTCTTCTTGGTGGCGGCGGCCGCGGCGGAGGCAACGACCAGCCCGTTACTGGGCTTCTCTTTACGGGGCGTCGACAGGTTCGACTTGTTTGCAGGCATTGTTCGCTCGCAATTTAATACAGTTCCCTTATCGTCGACTATCACTTTTCAATGGTCTGCGGTCGTCGATGATGATCACCGAAACTTAGCGGTCCAGTGACGAAAGATAGCGATTAATAACGACCGAAACTTTCCACACTATACAAGCTACACGCGGATACACGTGCGCGTCACTGATGCGCGCGTATGACATATATTCGGTTGCATTCGGTCACGCTCGGTTCGAAGTCGCATCTTCCGCATCGTTGCTCAGCTGACCGCCAAGTCGTTTGAATTTCATACTGGCCTCAGGTCAAATTAGATGAAAAAAATCCAAGTCTCGTCTTATATACGTAAAATATATATATTTTGATATACATAAAACAAATAATTTAGCTCAGGAAAGTTTCATTGTTCTACTTTTGTTAATTCTTCAGAAAAGTTATATTTTTCAGAGATAAAGTTAAGATTGACATGACACTGCTCCTGATATGCAGATTCTTTATCAAGCATTACTTGTTTCAATCTTTAAATATGGTTAAGAACTGTCTATCTATATAACTTGGATTACCGTCTATTTTTATAACGAGTATTAAGCAAATCAATGGAAAGCATATTATTATGTCTGCCATAGTCGTACATTACTAATAAAGACAGTTGCACATAAGTAATGACTATAGTCATTCATCTCAAGAATAGAGACAATCGAACTTTAGCACTTATTAATAAATCCGGCTTGTAATGGATATATATAATATTATTAAAGATAATTACATAAATAATAAACAACAATGTCACTTATTTTGATAATGGAACATTACTATACTTTCACTATATTTTTGCACTTTGCATTTTTTTCTTTAAAGCCAGATTTATACATTTGTTCACTTTTAGCACACAATTGTACAGGCTAACGAATATTGTAGGGCTAACGAATATTTTTATTATCAACTATTTCATGCATCTATTTCATTCGAGTTTCACTCGTCCTCTTGAGATGGCAGCAAACTCCACTGAACGTAGTTGCGCTGTAGCGACATTCATTCACAGACATTTGTTTCAAGGCAACCAACCTTGTATGTTACAGTCTGGGGACACATTTATTGAGATTGGAAACTCGAGTCTCGGTACGGATGCACCAGTTGCTGCGCGCTCATTGGTTGGAATTCGCTCGTCGTCGAGGACATCCGCGTGAGAGTGACGGAGCGAGGAATAATAGTGGGGTTGATCGAGGTGCGACACGACAGACAGAGACAGTCGACATAAGTTGACCCGTGTCATCGCGCTCGAGCGCGCCCGTTCCGCTCGCAACTCTCTGGTGGCAGCGTAACGTCACGCCGAATCGCCGTCGGTCAGCGAGCTGAATTGTAATACGCTTTCCATTGTGTGGTCACCAAGTGCAGTTCCGTGTGCGTCGCGCGTGCTACGCTCGGGAGCGCCGCGAAGTGCTGTGCAATTCGCACCGACATAATACGCGAGACGAGGCTATAATGTCGGTCTGATCGTGGTCTCAACATGACCGTGGACTTTGTCGATTACTTTTGGGTAAGTGCCTACTAGAAGTGCCTACTAGAAGTGCCTCTTTTTCTACTTCGTCCTTTCTCTTTTTCTCCCATCTCTCTGTTTCTCTCCAATGGACAAACATTCGCCGCCAAAATGTCATTCTCTTGCCAATTGCGCGCGTAAATTTAGGTTATGTCGCGAGAGAGAACGTATCCCGTCCACCGTGACCTCGTCGTCGTGATTCTTCTCAGCCCTACCTCGCCCTCTTCTTGTCGTGCGATCGTTATCCCTCTCGAACCTGCCGCGGCGATACGATGTACGCGGTGTACTCGTCAATGAAGTCTCTCTTTCGTCTCCCTCCTGTCGATCCGTCTGTCGTTTATCGTTCTCTCTCGCACGAGTTGTGTGTCTCGGGATGTCTTATACTGGCCTTTCACTTCTTTCTCGCGCGCGTGGTCGACGTTATGCGTTTCCCTCTTTGTCTTTCCTTCCTTCCCTTCCCATACGTGCGTTTACCGTACTCTCGTATGTCGGGTACGTACGTAAGCGTAAATGCGAGAAAAATATGCGATGTTCTCGAAGCATGTTGACATAGCGCGTTCTTGTACAGCATGCCGTGCGCAAAGTTGGCCTATACGAAAGCGAAGGTCACTTGCTGCGGTCTCTCCGTGTTTATACGGTCACGCAATTAGCCTTTTGTAATAGCAGGGGTATTCACGCTCGTTCCCAAGTGACGCACGTCTCGACAAAGATCTTCAGTCTGCGAGTGCTGCAGATCTTGCTTACAGAAGAAATCTTTGCCGGGCTTTATCAAACTTGTAACTGAAATATTTATTTTTTATAATGTTAGACAGATATTCACACATTCGACTCATTATTAGATATCTGAGATTCGGTTAATAATGTTAGAATTACAGTTGACATGCTTATAATTGAGTTTTAAGAGTATGTATCTATATATATTACATAATAATAGTATGTATAGACTATATTACATAATATGCAGTTTATGCTTTGTGAAAAAAGAGTTACAGAGATAAGTATGCACTAATGATCAAACAAGTTTGTGGTTTTTTTTTAAATAAAAAAAAGGCTTCTATGATACTTTAGACTTAAAGACTTAGCTAAGTATATAACATAAGTTTATAGATTACTTAATAGAATTTTGAAACAAATTATATATATATATAATTATAGTAAATGAGAAAAAGAGAAATTAATCTTTTTACAACATGAAATATATACATTTGTTTATTTCTATGTTATTATGAAGGGAAATGTAAAATACTTTTAAAATATAAATGTAATGTTTTAACAAAAAAAAAAAAAAAAAAAGAACTTTTTCTAAAAATGTCAGGACTTTATTTGTGCGCATTGGTACATATTTATCTATATTTTTTTCCATAAAGGCATGCTGTTGATAAGATAGTTGTCATTTCCTTCTCCGATACTGATTATGAGAGTATCCTATATATTGAAGACTGCTTGGAATTTAATATAGAATATCAGTCATCAGTAAATTGAAAGTAAATTATGAGAAATTCTTTTACAATAAAATCAATGCAAGAATTGAGACATATAATCTGTTCCAATCGTTACAATAGGATGACAAGAGTAATATATATAATGACAGCTTATTGTGGCAATGTCACCCGAGAGTTCTGTACGATGTAGGTTTACTGCATGATCAGAGTTCAAGTGTTAACCGGCTAAGTGGTCTTAAGTACCATTGCAGCACATATCTTTCAGTCGTGATATTCTAATTGCAAGGAAGATTTTCATACCGTTACAAGAACTTGATGCAGAAACGATGATCTGCGCAAATTTTTTATTTGAACCTTTAATTTCCAATGCTAAAATTTTAATTTTCTCTGCTAAAAGATTTTTAAAAGTAATTATATATAGCGATTGAATTAAAGTCAACTTAAAATTAAATTAAACATGATATTGAAAGATTGTTTTTGTTTTACTATTTAAGGGCGAAAAGAATAATGGATTTGATGTATTGTATCATAACATGAAGCATGGTGTGGTAGCCAGTAAGGAATTGGCTGAATTCTTGCGAGAGAGATCAGTCATAGAGGAGAACAATTATAAGCTCCTTAGTAAGGTAGCGAAGCAGGCAAGCAATAGCACGCAAGGAACATTCGCACCTGTATGGGCCGCTTTGAGAGGTGCTGCCGAGAAATTGGCTGTTTTGCATCTGCAGATGGCCCAGCGAGTCGGTGAATTGATAAAAGATGTGTCAAAATACGCGGAAGAACTGCATAAGAAGCACAAGGCTGTACGTAATTATGTCTTTTTATTCGACTTGTTGCTTTTTTTTTAAGCTTGCAATAAAACGTAACATATAATCGTGGCCTCGTAAAATAAGATATGGCGTTATCTTTTATTTATTATGCTTTGCTTTAGAATATATTTGATACACATTCCATATATTATCAGTATCCGCCCACAGTCGGGTCAGTAGGTTTTCATTGTCGTGCAATTAACTCTGCTGTAGTCTGCAGAATATCTTATCTGTCAGAGCACACATGCACGCGTATACAGATAACTGCACTCGCATATTAATCTTATTAATTTGAAGTTGGATTAGGCCAAACTACGAAATAACATGTAAATAACGTTATAAATAATATCTAGGTGAAGGAGGAAGAATCATCTACTTTAGAGGTTGTACAGAGTATGCAGAGTATCACTGTGACGTTGCATAAAGCGAAAGACATGTGCCTGCAAAAAGGTTTAGAATTAGAGAAATTGAGAAAGGACAATGCCAGTCAGAGGGAGCTGGAGAAGGCGGAAGTCAAGTTCAGAAAGGCGCAGGACGATTACAAGGCGCTGGTGGACAAGTACACGGTCATACGAAACGATTTCGAGGCGAAAATGACCCAAGCCTGCAGGGTACTGATTCTGAATTAAACCATAAGGGGTTAGAGCCTGGCGGAATAATATAAGCGCGCAGGCAATTGGTAAAGCACATTAATCAGTCTATATTTTTGTTGTCAAGCGATTCCAAGATGCCGAGGAGATGCATTTGAAGCACATGAAGGAGTTCTTGAACACATACGCCGACGTCTTGCAAACTAATCACGAACAAGTCGGCCAGGTACATATCGATTTCAAACGGCAGTGCGTCGATATGACGGTGGAGAAGTTGTTGGAACAATTCGTGCAGAGTAAATACACGGGTTTTGAGAAGCCAGGTAAAAATATCGAGTTTTCTGTATCTGTGACGTGTCTGCTTTTTCTGTATCTGTGACGTGTCTGCAAATCAGGTGTGATCGAGTACGAAGAGGTGATGACGAGTTTAGCGGAATTGACCGGCCACTCTCAGTCCGAAGGCACCGTAGAGACACCGAAGGAAACGTCGAAGGGCACCAACGGCGAAACAGGCGTAGCTGGTAACAGTCACAGTTCAAAGAAAGATCAGGGATTAAAGGGGGAGGGTGGTACTTTAAGGGTACTGGACGGGGAAAAGGGGAGGGTGGAAAAGGATAGAGAAAAAGAAAGACAGAAGGAAAAGGACAGAGAACTGTCACATGTACAAGCCACCAAGGCTTCCCGCCGTACTACCTCGCTACTCAACCTGTTCATGTCCAACTCCCAGGGTAGGTCTCTCTCTCTCTCTCTCTCTCTCTCTCTCATTGAAGTTATGTAGATCTTTTGGAAGTCTCATTATCTCTTTAATTGCGATAGTTTTAAGCTACCTTGGCTTGATGCAATGCGATGCTATGTCAATCGAGATATATTTTTTTTTATTTTTTGTTTTGTTTTTGCGACATTTTACGCTTCATCGATATACCGATGTCACGTAATTTTCATATATTCCACACGAAAGATGGAAATATATAATTTTAATTTTCTGATTTGATTAATTTCGATGATATTTAACAATATATAGCAGAATAACAATTTTGTTAACATTCTGTTTAAAACAGCAAAGATTTTTTTAGACGACTATCGGCGTAACATTGCACACGTCTTGGTAGGCTTGTTCTGCAATTTTTAATTTTATATCGTATAGTACCATATATCATATTGACCACATTACACACTTGCCCAATTGAATTGCAGCACTCGATCACAGATATGTCAAATCGAATATGATACGCAATACAATTTTATCGATTTGTTTATGCTTATGTGGTTCTTGTGTTATACTGGCTTATGCGTAATGATCTAACAATAGGTGGAGGATGGCGTATAGAATACCATCGTGTTCCAGAGGGTTTGTTTCCAGTCAAAAATTGTTTTACATTTTTCATTGAATTGCTAATTATACTCTTGTAATGCATATATGGAACTTGTATTATAACATTTTGTTCGCGTGAATGAACGGACGGATGAAGGGAAAAATTCGTTGGTCGCGATTGATCATTGTGTGTGAGTGGAAAATTTATTCCACATATTTTCATATTTTTCTTATACAATTAAAATACTTAATTTTGCTTCTGACTTTTATGCATTTATGCATAATCACGATAATCACTTTTGTGTATCGCTATAATCATACATCCAGACAGCATTATGTGTTTATTTAACATATTGTCACCCCTCTGGAACGCTCCTATGCCACTGAAAGTGCAAAGGTCATTGAAGTCCCAATCGGTACAACTAACGTGTATAACAGTGCGACATGGAGTGAGAAAAAGAAAGGGCCGTCAGTTGGCGGGGATGCATTCAAAGACGTGAGAACGATGAGTGTTGTTTCAGACAAACAGAGGCAAGCAGGGTCGTCTGGTTCGGCACCTGCCACTCCTCAAGGGAACAACCTGCCTCCTGCTGTTCCACCTCCCAGCATCTCCAGGAACCCTCTCAGAGGATCTAAATGTAACAGTTTACATTGTGATTACTCCTGTACCCCCTCTACCATACCCCTCTCTCACTTTGTAGAACATGCTTTAGATTACTGATATCGACGTTAGGTCCCAAATAAACACCGAAAGTAAACGTGCCCTCTATTCTCGTCGACACGAAGTAATTAATTTTCGTGTTTCTGTTCGTGCAGTTTCTACTTATCTCGTCTTCTCTTTCTCAAAAGTATTTCAAAAGTATGAAGCGCGAAATAACTTTGCACTCGATTTTTTATTTATTGCCATAATTGCCACACTTTTAATCGTATTCGTAGACATTCTGCATATTAGCTCGAATATAAATGGTCAATTATTAATTTAAAGATATGACACACACAAAAGTGCTCGTCATAAATATTTCAGATATAAACTTTTTTTACTGTTTAAGGTGTTTTTAAATTGAGATATCTTCTTTTATAACTTGTAACGGCGGTACCTATACCTATACGATCAATTTTATTCGAGCAAATGCTCTACGCAAATCTTTAATTCTTTTTTGTCGGTTGTTCTGTCTTTATGGTGACAGTGATGTTACTTTCGATACTGGACGTATTTCTTGGACGTAATATGGTTAACTAAATTATCTGCTGACTTACAGTGGTTGCGCGTATCATGGTTCCTCCACTCTGCACTCTTTTAGAACAGCATTGTACGTACTAATTCTCATCTAAGCGTTTTAAATTAATGTTACATATTCAAACGTTTTCACTGAATCAACTATTTTTTTTTTTATTAAACGAACGAATTACATATACTTTGATGTAACATTAATTTCCGCTTTATCTCTAATACACATGCAAAATATTTCTTCACTTTGAATTATTTCCGCGTTTGAGATAGATTGTGAAAATGTTTCAGATTAAAGGAAGAAATATTTTTCGATTTTATCTTATTGACATTAAAAAACGCTTGCATAGAACATAGGCATATCTAACATTAGAAGTATATAGGAGTCTAATGAACAATTACTTTCGTACTTTCTGTGAGGTTTCACTTATAAATTGTTTTTCTAACAATCGTCTGTGTGAATATGTACTATCCAATTATGGCGATATACAATTTACATCAATTATCTTACACAATCACGATAAGGGAATACATATCGCATTATCTGTACAGTCAAACATCATTTAAAATTGCTTTCAAAATTGAGTGTATTTTAAAATGTACATTGAAAACAAATTCGAAATTGTAAATATGTATTTTCGCGGATTCAATTTCCAAAATGAAATAGCGTATCGTATTAACTATCATAAATTTTCATAGGTGTTCTATATAGGTACACGTTTAGTTGTCGATACATTACATCACTTCCGATTCCGAATACAATGAGCGGAATTTCACGAGACATACAAACATGTGTATCTAATTTCCATATCATAATTGAGAGATGCCAACACTTCTCGTTAGTGACACGTCCTGAATAGATTGGTAAACTATACGGATGATAGCGTAAAATTCTGTATGTTTGCAAAATCCATTCTAATGACAGTGCGATAACGAAAGAAATAAGATTAAACTAAAGGGAGTTGGACATTGAATAATGTTGAAACACAAAAGTGTGGGGTTGGCTACTGACGGGGCCTCAGGTGAGCCGTTTTTATAAGACTCGTAATTTGCATGGCTCACGTTTATATCTCTTACGTTTATTTTCCAAGTGTATGAATCTTTTTTTCCTTTCTTTTTCGATAGCGTAATGTGATTCTGCAAGCAACCGCTATTCTCAGACTACGTTCTCAACGACGATTGTTCCTGTAGTATCTTTTCAATTTCGATAGATAGATTACGTTCTTTTCGAATATATATTTTTCTCTCTATCTTTCTCTTCTAAATATTTGCTCGTTTCAAAATGTTTGAGATTATTATTTTCGTGCATGCATAGTAATGTTCCATTTGCTTGCAGAAGATATGACTCTCTGTATATATATCTAACTTGTTCCAAGAGAGACGCGCGAAGGAGAGCGTGCACAAAGCAAACTGCCATTTTACAGTGTTGTCAGTGTAGGTTTGGTAATTGTTAGAAAAACAATTTAAGAGGAGAATAGGCGATGCAGAGACTGTAGGACTTTTGATGGTGGTGGTGCGTGGGGTATCTTCATATTTCTACTAACGTGACATCCTCTACTCCGCTCAACTCAATTTTCTTTTCTGTTTACTTCACTTTTATCATCTGCATCTTTTTGTTTTGACGTAGATCTATGTTAGCCGTTCTTTTCGCAAATTGCTGATATGCGTTCCTCGAGAGATGAAATGATATCGTAGATTTTGACATTTCAGAGATATGATATCAAAAGGAGTGAATTTTTTCATAATTTCGTATTTCAATACGCGATTTAAATTCTGATGAAATTTATATTCGTCTATGTGCAAGATGAATTGGAATTAATAACGGAACTCATGTCGGCATCATCGAAGAATGTGAAAGTTAGTTAATTAGTTAGAAATGTGTAGTTATTGATACGTCCGTCGATTTACTTTTTTTATTAGATGCTATTTGATCATGTTGCGCTATGTTCTGGCCACTTGGAAAGTAAATTGATTTTTATTTCTCGTTAGGTGATAAATATACAGTGTTTATCGCGTGTTGAAATGTCAATACGAAAATGTCGCGTGAAACAACTTAATGGTTTTTATCTATTTTATGCAAACAGCAGCAATTTATTCGCGTAGCATTTAAATTACACTGTATATTCGTATCTTGTACAAATTTAGCTATGCAACTGTAGTTTCTTTACGCTTTTTTTATTTTCAAATTAATTTCAAATAATTTAATTTTGAATTATGACAGCAGAATCCCCATCAATATCTTACGATAATGTTTTCAACATCAAAATTTTCAGTTATATTTTCGTGAAAATAAGTCACAAAATTATCATATATTTCTTCGTGCAAAACTTTATTCAACTTTATTTAGTAGTAAGAAATTTTAAAAATAGATTTTAGAACTTTTTATCAATATTTGATCTTTATTCATATTTGTAGATGTTTGATCGTAGTAAATTCAAGAAATTTGATAGAGAATTCATAGTTTGGCGTAGTGATACGTATTAAGCATATATTTAATAAGTAGTTAGTACGCGTATATCGCAGTCCATCCTATTGTCTACATTTGGGGTGTCCACGATCAACAGGGTTTCTCCGCAGTAGAAGGGAAAAGCGAAAGGAAAAGAAGGCGAAGAAGAAGAAGGACCTTGTGGAAACGAGCAGCAACAAAGAAGAAAAGTCTGACCTGTCAGTATATGCATGCGCAGCAGACCTAGTGCACATAGAGTCAGTTTCACAATCAACATAAAAGCGAAATTCGTGACGTATTCTAAAATGAAACGAGATAAATGCAAATTTTACATATATTTTTGTTGGATGTGAATCAGACTCGTAATGCTTTGTCATATAAAATATTCTATTTTTATATGAAATATTGCTGTATTTTATTCATAATCGCGACATGTAGAATGTTTCTAAAATATTTGAAATGCAGATTCGGAAATGCATTCTTTTCATATTATAGATGTTGAATTATTGAAAGACTTGCAACTTTTATCAGTGCGTTATTCTAATTTTCATTTCTTTACATTTTTGTCTCTATATTTTTTGGCTTTGACTCTTATAATAAACAATTTTTATCAATTGCATTCTGGCTAAGTTCTTGCTAAAATCTATATTTGTGTTCGAAAATTGAAAGACTATGATTTGAAAAGAAAGCATTCACGGACTCTTTTTCTTTTTTCTTTTTTTCTCATTAACACGGTCAAGTGGAATACTTGGTAATTGGTCGAGCCACAATCATTATATGTGTCGTCACACATTAAGCGCAATAATTTCATGATCTGAGCATGCTTCTAGCACGACAGAATTATTTGTGTAATGCACTGGGCCTGTTGGAACTTGTGAAAATATGTTACTTCAAATACCTTGTCATGAACGCAATAGGGAGGACAAAGACGACAGCAGAAAGTCGGAAACACCGACGCCAGAAGTGGACGAGGATGGTTTCTGTATCAGACCAAAACCGGATCCATGGGAAAACGAGAAAGGATTCTATTCTAGTTCTGATACGGATTCGGAGGACGATAGGGAACGTAAAATTCGAGTGGAAATCAAACCACTGAGTAACGGTGGTGCACCGATGAGCGCAAGTGTGGATGAACTGAGGGCGACTGTCGAAAATTTATCATTGTCACCTGCACCAACAGTGAGTGGTATTTTCTCTACTGAAAAATCTCGCTTATAGTCTTAGTGCTTCTTTGCTAAAAATTAACAACTGCGAAAGAAAAATTTATATATATTTAAAAAAAAATAAGAAAAAAAGAGGGAATGCTTTTCTGCAATTTTCTACTAATTAGCTAATACTATTAGCTAATTTTCGAACATTTTATTTCTCACGAGAGATAATTTCCTTGTTGATTGTATCACTATTTTCTTTGTACACATGCTATCTAAAAAAAAAAAATTGAAAATTATTTGATTGTCTAACGATATGTTGTATTCCAACAGGGACGTAGAGGATCGAATACCGATTCCGATCATCACATGAAAAGGTCTCAGTCAGTGTCACAGCAATTAGGAGGTAAGCCAAGCTCGGATTTACTTGGCCTAAACTTGTTCAATCCTAGCAGTACACCGTCGAGCGCATCGACACCGACCGGCAGCCATCCCTACGCTCCGCTCCAGAGCCCACCGCCGCTCTCCACGTCGCCAACCCCGTCGCAGCCGCCGCCACCGCAGTCCGCGCCGCCTACACACCCCCACACTCGATTCCCAGGTAAGCTCCATTAACGAGTTTATCCACTTTATATAGTAGGAAGATGGATAAACTTATTACGTTAAATGCAAAAAATAAACTACGCCTCGCGGAATTTACGATGTCGAATGACAGTGAATGCATTTATTACGATTCGCATAGATGGGAGAAAAAATTGCGCGCATTGATTTCTGACGGCGTAACTCAATATAACTGCAATGATAATATTTTACCATCTAATTCTCTATTCGATTTATGATGGAGAGATTTATGAAAACACTAGTTTATGAATAAACTCAATTTCTCATTTATCGAATTGCTTGCTTTTACTCGGTGGAATCGAGAAGGAGAGACGGGAGTTTGTAATTAATTTTTTTTTAGATGGCGATCTGTTTTCGGAAGTTGGGGACATCACGCCGGCCTTGCCGCCGAAGCAATCCGCGTCCTCTACGCCTACAGGGTCGATCGTTATACCTAGGCCGCCTTCACGTAGAGGAGAGGGTCCTTCTCCGCGCGGTAGGATGTCACCTGCGACGATATCCCGCGCCGACAGCGTCGCCAGTCTGGAGTTTCGTACGGCCGGTGTGGGCGTGGGCTCCTCGCGAGGGCCATCCCCGCTCACGATCGGCTTAGCGGACACCATTCCGCTCGCAGTGGCGTTCCACGAAATTGTGCATTCCTACTTTCGCGGTACAGACGAGACTCGATGTCAGGTGAAGCTCAGCGGCGACATGATGCTCTCTTTCCCGGCTGGCATTGTTGCGGTTCTAGCGAACAATCCCAATCCCGCCAAGCTGACCTTTCGCGTGAGAAACACCAACAGACTGGAGAGACTGGTGCCGAACAGCCAGCTCATCAGCATGTAAGTGATTGTTGTGGTCGTATTAATCATCCAAGTCGCAAAAAGACTGATTTAACAAGGGAGACTGATGCTTGCAGGGACGCGACGCAAACCACCGTCGACAGTACAATCTACGAATTCAACATGAGTGCCTTAACTACCTTGCTACGGCGGCAAGCTGAGCAGAATCCTTCGGCCTCGTATTTCAACGTGGACATCCTCAAGTATCAGATCAAGGGCAAGGAGGGCGCCGGCTCTTGTCCCTTCCAGTTGGTCGCATATTGGAAGTGTGAGGCGACTCATACCGATCTTAAGGTATCCAATCGAATTTGCGCTCATCCTTATTAACGTTTTTTCTTACATAAAGTAACAGCGTTAAATGCGTGCGATATTCAGTATACAATACAATCGCGAAAGTGTTGAGGAACGTGAATATTTTTGCTCTCGTTTTTGCTGTTCTGCTTGACGTTATTGTGACGTTATGGTGACGAATCGAACTCAATTCTCAATTGTAGATCGATTACAAATACAATAGTCGCGCCATGGCCTCGCCAAGTCCTCTGCTGAATCTCCATGTAGCAGCGCCTATTGACGGAGGCTTCAAGTCGCTCAACAGCCAACCGCCAGCGCAGTGGTTACCCGATACGAATCGCGTGTTATGGAAATTCACGGAGCTGTCGCAGCATAGCGAAGGTAACGGAGTTGGGTCTCTGAAAGCACGGGTCGAACTTGAACGCGGCCCGGGTAATCAGGGCACGATATTCACCCAGTTCAATTGCGAGGGGACCACACTGTCAGGTGTCGAATTCGAGCTTATAGGCGCTGGATACAGATTGAGCTTGGTGAAACGAAAGTTTGTGTCTGGTAAGTTGTTTGAACAATTATTGGGTTGTGCAATAAATAATTAGATTTTCCAAATAAATCTGTCTGCTTTTTTTGTCAGGCAAAATTTGATTAACACCCGCCTAAAAACAGAACGTAATGAAAGCGTTATTATTTTTTTTAGCACACTGTTATATTATTTTTAACATTAATATTTAAAAATGAAGCGTAAATTGTTCCGTAAATACGATACTATTAAAATTGTCAATTGAATCTCGCTAATGATATCTCTTGCTTCAAAAAAAAGAAAAAGAAAAAAAATTGTTCAAAGATATTATTTTTGGGATGATCTCGACTTTTAGTGATTATATTCTGATTTTTGGAATGTCATCGAATTGTTTTAGGAAAATACATATGTGATGGAGATTCAGACTCGCGTAGCAGATACGCCGCGCCGCCATCTAACGCGGACTGACGACTTCCAGAATGGGCGCCTCAATGGGAGAGCCAGCCCATTTAATATTGGTTGAAGTCGCTTAATCACTCACTGCCTATATCACGACTATCGATCGTTCGTAGTCTGAATACGTGTGGGGAGGTTCGTTGGATACCAAAGCGTGAGTCGATTGAGGATAAAATGGATCTTTTTGTAAATGTCGCATGTTAAACGCGATTGCTTTTGCAAGAAAAAGCGCCGTGCAACAAAATCGGCCGCCTTGTTCGAAACTTAAACGCAATATCGATATTTTCCCTCGCGCGTTTAACGTCGAACGTGAACCGCTCCAAGTCTTTATTTCAAGTGTTAAGCCACACTATATTTGATCTTAGCCGGAATTTGCGGGATTTAAAAAAGGTGCGCGTTTGAGGCAAAATGCACCCTGTTCTAAACGCAGGCCGATATTACTTGGCAATTCGAACGAACGCGAATAGGGAGATACGATAGATCTGATTTGGTGTGAGTCACGCGCTACCTGACGACGAACGTGTGTTCTATGTTTTATAACTCGTATATTTTTTAATTTTCTATATATCCCGCATTGGAGAAAAAAAAATAGGCTGTATTACTATTTTAATGTAGTCTTTACAAGAGACTATAAAACGCGATAAATACGCGAACAATCTTCTTCGTCGAGAGAGAGATTTTCGCGTGAAAATTCCTTTGGTGTCCAGCATATTCTCCAGCACGAAGACCTCCGCCATTTAATTCTCTCTATATAATCAAAATACATCGCGATATCTTTTCCTCTCTTTTTTTCTATCTGGACCCTCTCCCAAAAGTACAACACTATTGTTATATTTTGCGTTATTTTAATATAGATAGTATATTAGCATTATTACATTGTTAATAACCGTGCGCGGAAGAAGAGAGTGTAAAAGGATATGTAAACGTCGATTCAGTACGTATATTTAGCATTTATACTTTGGACAGAAAAGGCGCACTGTTTGCGAGAGCCTTTTGACGGGAAGACCTGCGTGTGCTAGTTTTTTAGTTTATTTTCATATATGCGCGAAGATGTGAGAGTATTAAATAGTAAGCCGTGCGATGACGCGAACAAAACTGTCTTTACCTAATGAAGTAATATGCGAGCGAAAGCAAAAGAGAGAAAGAAAAAAAAGAGTTTAAATCAACGATACTTTTTTAAACGTTGGCACACGCTCGGTGTGCTCGAGGCGAATCAAATACGATTCTGTATTTTTGAACGTTTAATGGCTAAAAAACACAATTTCGATGTCGCTGACAGGAATTCTAGTTTTAGGTGTAGCTAACGGCGAACGAGGAGAACATTATCTAAATGTTTCAAACTGAGATTCTTAGTATTATACGTAAAACGCTGAAAGTTTCCTATCTATTGCGATTGTGGCGCGTTTCGTTTTCGCCCGTAAGAACGTATTTCTCGTTATAGTTATATATCACACTTGTTCACACGTCACATCTATGGCTTTATACGGATCAGTTATAATTTAATCAAAAACAGTTGGGTTGCGAAGTGTATTATTAAGGTTAAGGCGTTTCACACACAAAAACGTTAATTTGCAACTTAGGTCAATTTCATGGAAAGTATTACTTAGACGAGCAGTTGTATCAATTATTATCAATATTAATTATCGATCGACAGATAGATAATAATGATGATTAATTATATCCAATTTTCGAGTATTGCAAATTGTGCATGACAAATATACAAATATATAAGTGTGTACTTGATACACAATTTAATTATGTATTCCAACAATTAATCTAGAGAATTGTATTCGCAAAAAATATTTTACCGCGTTGTATCATATTTTTAGAGATAATACTACTACAGTTGCGCGATGTACAATTGGATAGAAACAATTGCTCGTCTAAATATATTTTTACTTAAAATTAGCTTAATTATTGTGGTGACATTTTCGTTAACCCATTAAGAGCCATAATTATAATATAAAGAATCTTAGTTAGAGCAAAATTATTTTTACGTTCGAAGGATTTCTCAGATTGATACTAAGATCAAATCGTGCAATACATATTATTTTGTTCGACAACTGTGTGAAGTATATTCTAAAATTTAATACCAAAAATTTTAATTTTAATGATAAATTATTTTATTTTATTTTATTTTTACTGAAACTCTTTTACGTTCGTATATAAAACTTTGATCCCAAAAAATGTGTCCGTTGGCCGTTAATGGGTTAATCTATCTTTCATTGACGAAACTTTTTCTTGTTTTTACGAAAGTATAACAGAATCGCTCATTGCGTACCAATTCTTTGAGTATTTTGCTACAACCAAGTATACTTGGAAGTAAAAGCTGGTAATTGCGGAAAATAGTTTTGCAGATGCACGCATGCACGTGATTGCAATATGCGTGCGCGCGCGTATACGTTGTACATATATAAGATCTACGAATCTAATGTAACTCTTCTAAGAAGTCTGACTCGAATCACACACATACACACACACACACACGCACACACGCACACACACAGTTCGGCACACGATGTTTTCTTCCGTGCTTTACGACATCGACAACAAGCGATACTCGCTGTCCGGGTCTAAAGGAGAGTTCAATTCTTCTATGCATATTGATTTTATCGATAGTCTCGTTAGAGAAAGTTCGTTAGGCAACATCTTTCGAAAGTTAAAAAAAAAAAAGAATCTAATTAGAAGTCGACGGGCACTAAGGTACGCCAGTTACGTTCTTTCGTTGTAATAATTGCTTACTAACGTGACGTATCGTTTTTTACACTTCCCGTTGTTTCGAAGAGACGTTACGATCGGTAAGAGATTATTATCATTGTCGGCGTTCCTGCGATACTTTTCACGCCTCTCTCTGCGCGCCTATTCGTCACTTCAGCGCGAGCCTTACTTTCGAGATTGCTTTTTTAATTGTAATCATGTAGAGAGAGGCGTCACCAAAAGGTCTATACGAAGAGCAATACGAAAACATCTGTAAGAAGTCTTCTTACAGATGACGAAACTCGAGTGACCACTCCATTCGGAATATCAGTCCACAGAATTTTTAAGGGGTAGATATTATTCTCGTTTATCTACTATATATTTATATAATTTTCAAGTGTTTCAATTGCGATTCAACTAAAATCAAAAGAAATTTTCCGCGTGGACCTCATTTCTTATCAACGTGGCACACAATTGTTGCAATTGCGATAGTTGTCTTGTGCTCGAAATTCACATGGCAGAATGGAATGTAATGCGTACATAATATGAAGACAATGGAGTGGTTTCTGAAGAATCGACTGAGCTCTCCTGTGATACGCAGATGTCACTATATAATTTCGTAATAAACGTTTGTATTGAAACATGTATGTATATTGCAGCGCATCGTAATCGCGTCACCATTTTCTTCCCGACTAATCCCGAGACAATGACAACGACCACGATGAGGAAAGCTCAGAAATGCGAGGTTCGCAAGCAAAACTCGTGTTCTCCAATTTTGTTCCGCAATCTTCCATATGCATTATCGTCGTTTAAATATCTATTAATATCTGAAATGCATTGAAGAGAAAGAGCGAATCCAGCGATCGTCGAGACTTGGATTAGCTTCAGAACGAGAAGGATAAAAGACACGTGTAAAAAACGAACTTGAAAGTATATTTACTGAAACTTTGAATATTTTTTTAGAAATTATTTTTCTTCGACTCGTTCTTTCTTCTCTCCTCTACGCTTACTTCAGTTTTAAAGTACCTATTTTAATTTTAAAATACCTATTTCAATTTGAAAATGGAAGACCGGGCGATTTATTTCAATTTGCACATATCGATTTTCCGATCGCAATTTCTAAAAAGTGGAGAATCTGAGTTTTGATTTCTACATCACTCTTTTGCCCCGCAATTACGACGTCGCGGACAGGTCGGTCGTTTCGAGACGAGGTGTAAACGTCGTCTGCATCTGTATTGGTATAATTACAGCCGATTCGTACCATACGCACGCTTAATTGACGGAATTGAATTTTACAAGAAGACGTATATAGAGTCCATCGTGTGTACAGGGCTCGGCATCGCGTAATGAGAAGAGGTGGACGCATGTCGTTGAGGTGACTGCACCGCAATTGCGTACACAGTAAGCGTCACTCTTATACATAGTATGAATACGAGGACTATAAATTAACGATATTCGCGATACACACACATGTTGCGCGATGCATAGCAAGCGGTTATGTAAACTTGTTGACATGTAATATGTCCATGTTCTAATAAAGATTTAGGATATTTTCTATAAACGATTGTGCCGTTGCTGCGCGCAAAGTCTCACGTATACTTGGCCACATGAAACGATCTGCGCTAATTGACTAAATAATTTAAAATAATCAGTTGCAAAGTATGTGATAAGTTTGTGCATTTTATTGTACATATATGTGGACTAGAAACGATTGCAAACACAGCAGAGTTGTTGAGACGAGTCTGGCAACGTTAACGTCGCGTGTTTTCATAACTTGCATAATTTCATGCTTATATTGCAATAGAATACAAGCGTCTCGTGTTACTCGTCGTGAATGAGGTATTCTGAAATTATAATCTATTCGCGTTTGTTTCTTCAAATATATTAGCTAGCTAATCTTTCTTTATTTGCGCGCAAATTACGAACTAGTCACAAACCTGTATTTATCATCGCTATGAAATATCATTAGAAAATCTCGAATCTCCAGCTATTTGTTTAACTATTCTTCGGAGAATGCGTCTCATTCTCGAGATCATCATCAATCAAACTGCAAGTCACTCTCATCCATAAATCTATAAATCTATAAATCTATAAATCTCTTCAATTCTCTTTTTCGAAGCCTGAATGTCCTACTTATTTTACTCTAAATGGAAGTGCAACCAAATCGAAACAGATTTTACATCCTGTGCAAACCGAATGTTCGTCTTCTGTTGCTTACTCACGCAGATTCTTTCAGTATGCGCCTCAGCGTCTCGTCTTCTTTGAAATATTGGATCAGCACATCTTCGTATCTGAAGAAAAACATAATCGGATCAATCTATGGAACTCACAAAAAATAGAAAAGAAAAGGAAAACGTATGTAGCTCTGAACTTTTATACATATTTTTCATCTCCATCTTTGCTTCTTAATTACATTTTCAGGTGTAAAAATGTGAATTTTTCTATTGTAAATTTTTATCAAAAAATTTCACAAGTATATCGTCCTTGAAAATATTAATAAAAGATAAAAGAATTTGGATACAGCTTTAGAAAGCTAAATATTAGCAACGCTCATCCTTTCAGACTTAATTGCACAATCGTCAAGTATTAATTATTGATTTCTTCATGTTTCACAAGAGATTTCATCATCAATGCCAAAGGCATGTAATTGTTTAACCTCTTCCGTTTTACCTGATAGGTATTGCGATGTCCTCGCGTTGCACGATACCCAGGATGCGAACCCTCTTCAGCATGGTGTCCGCTACCACTCTCTCGTATTCAAAATATCTTTCATCCTGGGTGAACCATAACGCCACGGCGCATCTTCTGCCGCTGCGCACACCCTGAACACCGTGAAGATTCTCACCACCGGCGGAAAAAGCCACCATACGTCCGCACCGAGGCTGAACAGTGCTCTGAACGCGGCGTCTCTTCGGGTCCTCAACGAAAAAGAACTCGCCGCCGTCGAAATCGTCGTTGAGATACAAAATCGCTGAATAATCTCGCCACGTGTACGCAGGATCTTCTCGTAAGCAGGAACCTTCGTTCTTTATGATACAATTATCAGCGTGAATCTCGTGACTCAGATCGCTCCGATTTGCCGGCGAATCTGAAAAATGTCGAATAACTGAGAGAAAATAATTTTCTGACAATCAGATATTCATATGTTCTTCATTTTTTCTGTATGTTCTTAAATAGCTGGTTAAAAATTATTGATTATTAGGAGGTTATCCATGGAAGTAATACTTAAAAATGAAACTTGAAAACGATTTGTTTCAAAGGTATTTTACGTTCTGGTGATTGTTTTGTTAATTAAAAGTGTTACAAGAATAAATGAAAAAAATGTTGCAGGCGAGGAGAACGGATCTGATCGATTATCTGTAATCACGATTAATGTTTACATGCCATACCGATTGTTACGATGCGAGCATGTCAGCGAAAGTGACGTCAGAAGCACGAGGATGCGTCAGTTGAAAATTACCAGGTAAAGCCGTTCGGCAGACCAAATGGGTATAGGTGAAATACAGTGGTCGATCAAGGTCGAAATACCTTTCCACGTGATCACGAACCGCTTCCGTACGTTGCAGGAATAACTCCAGCAGTTCCGGCTTCATCAGACCAAAGTACACCATCTGCAAAAAATTTCTTTTCGTCAGGTAAAAAATTTTGTTTTGCGAGATAAAGATTTTTTGCGCAATCTGGTGAACAATGGCGGAGTAAAGAGAATAAAATGGTCTCCGAGGCAAATAATGCTTACTAAAGCCACCCTGCCGACAGTCATGCCTTCAAAACGTTCATACGATGAATGCGGGCTCTTATTTCCCATGTAGCCGTCACCTTCCACGGCACCCTGGAATTTACAAATAATATATCTCCGCGTATGTTTGTTTTACTAAAGATACGAAACTTGAACGACTCGTTAAGAGTCGTTTTCCATTGCAACTTTATAGAAATGTAATGGAAAAGAATTTAGAAGAAATATTTTGCAATCGTGATTAGAACTGAGCCAATTCGGCCGGTGAATACCTGAGCGAGTTGCATAAGCAGATCGCATTCGGTGGAATTGAGAAAATTATCGACCGCGTAGCGGTTTTTTCCGCCGAGCTCTTTTTCTCCTGCAATCAATCGCGCGTCGCTCGTGACTTTTAGCCATTCCATGATGCGACTTTTTGGTATCTCCGTCTTCTCCTCGTCCCGAAACGCTGATAGATTACCTATAAATCGCGTCCATATGGATGGTGAGTGACCCGGAGGTGGATGCAAATCCTAAAAAACAAAGAAACAAAATGTGTGAAGAATGAGACATCGACATAGTATCGCAATTTTAGATAATAACATTAGATTTTTTCCTCATTTTTTTTGTTTTACATTCTATTTTATCTTGCTAATATCATTCTCTGCGCCTGCACTTTGATATAAATGCAAGCGCGAAAGTAAATAGGGTTGCACTTAGCAGGCGATCGAGCGAGGGCCCCCTTCTAGTGAAGATACATCTCGTGAATAATATTAAGTTAATTTAATTAATTAAATTATTGAAATTAATATGAATTTTATAAATATTAGACATCTCAATATCTTTATGATAAAATATTTTATTGTTTCTCGTGTACAATATAATATATAAAGAGTAAAAAATATCTGAGAGCATCTAATGGCAATGCACTTGAACAGCAAGACCCGCCGATACACTCTAATTGACTGGTCTAAGCACGGTATCCGATGGTCACGTTTATGCGCGCGTCATTCTTTGAACAGAAATCACAATGGCAACGTACAATAAAGTTTCTTTTACACTTATCAATCCGCACAATCGCGTGGATATCGATCGACGGATAAATGAAATCAAATTTAGCGGTTCTTATCTGCAAATAGGTTACCAAATAATTTTTCGTAAACTTATGTCTCGTATTTTACCTTTCCTAATTTCTCTTCCGTTTTCTCATCGCTTTTTTCTTTATTACTCTTCTTATTGAATGCGTTGAATCTAGCATCGATCACTGCGAACTCCTCCGATATGTAATGCAGCAGCATCAGCTCGTACTCTTGCCGCTTCACGTAGGAAAGTGCTTCCTAAAAACAATTCTTATTGGATTACCGCAAACTTTCAGGGTGCTCTTTTATTTAAAAATTCACCATTTGATGCGTTCTATATATATATATAAATACCGCGTTTAAAAATTTTTCCAATGTATATGAATGTTATGTGAAATTTCTCAACAAATATTAAATTCGTATTATTTACTCTGAAAGTTTTTACTTTTATTAACTGAATAATTCTCTTGTTTTACCTCTCTTGGTGTGAAATATTCTTCCTCCACTTTCGGTTGGGAGCTATAGTAGTCTTTATTGTGAAGCATTGTTTCGTCGGCGGGTATAAACAATAAGTAACTCGCAACTGCCGCACAGGCTGCTTTCAGGTTGCCCACTATGTATAGAAGAGACGAAAAATATTCAATGTATTATACCTCATTTTTTCAAAATAATTTGCTAATCAAAAGTATTACAAGTTTTTACGTATTCATTATACATTCCGTATTGTTTTTAAATAAATTGATAACGAAATTCAATTGCTTCTTGTGTGCACATAAATGAGATTCAATAAATTATGATATAGATACCGTTTTAAAATTTTTAGTGACGGGAATGCTAATTTTACAGACATCGTTCTTTTTGAAAAGTTTTTGAGCTATCAAGGGAATAAATTTCGGCAAGAGATAACATGCTTTTACTAACATACAATCCTATAAGAAAATTAATGATAAATTTTCATAGACGCAAACATTGTAGATATATCTCTTACAAATATTGCATATTGCGTGATGATAAATTCTTCATTAAACTTTGATAGCTGCATCTTATGATAATTCGCCACTTCATATCTCTCTTACGTCTCTATTAATAAATTTAATCTTATAAGACGCCGATAATTAATAAAACTGCTTACACAATTGTGGAATTAAACTACTTACGTTTGTAATAAGCGAATTGCAGGTAATTGTAGTGGCTCCTAAGCAAATCACCTCGGAAGTTGCCATTCACATTGTTCAGTGCAAGCGAGCACCCACGTTTGCACTTTAGACAGAACGCAAAATGATCTAAAAAGATTGTTAACAATAATAAAAAGAAGAAATATTTCTTGATTGTTAATAATCTATATCAAAAATAAAAATTAAAACAGAAATCTATACACTTACATAATTAAAAATGTCAATGTATTTGTGCCAATGTTGCCAAATTTTTATTAATAATTTTTTTTGCAGATTAGCAAGCAAAGTCGTTAAATGCCACAATTATTTTTATGTTCTTTTTGTGTAGGTATAATATTGAAGTTAGTACATGAATATTCAGTGAGAATTTCGATGTTTCAAACCTTGTAAATATAATAATAATTAATATATCGCAGTAATAATAATAAACTGCGGTTTGTTTCAGATTGAACCAAGACAAAAATTAAAATTTATACAGATAAATTATATATTAATTATTTTTAGATTTATTTATTATCTTGATTAAATTGATTCAAGTCTTACTTGATATAGAGGACGTAAATTCGGGATACCATCCTTGATCGAAGGGACCTTCGCAATAAATCCTACACTCTTCCTCGGATTCCATGTAAAACTCGAGTGAACTCTCAAATTCGGCCACAGCTTCCGCATAGTTCTCATCTTCGTACGCTCGGACCCCTCGTAGATACATTTGCACAAAAGGAGCCACCTCTAAATTCACAACTTTCTCTACAACTACTTCGGGCAGACTCAGGTAATGCCTAAGATTTTTTTTCGTCATTTCATGATCGGGATGTTGAGTCAGGAAAGTGAAGGCTGCATTTGCCGCATCTTGATATCTTCTTTTCTGCGAGATAAATTTTTAATAATTATGTATGTGAGTGTATTTCATACATTGATAACTTTATGAGAAAGAATTTTTTATTTTATATTATATATACTTATTATTTTTAATTAATAGTTTTCTTTCATGAATGATTTTTAGAATATGATATTCCATGATATATCAAACAAAAGTACCATACTCGTAACTTAATTCTATTTTTAATTATTTCAAAGTCTTCCGCGAGATAAAAAATAGATGCGTTGTTCACGACTATCATGCCGGAAGTATGTGAAATTTTAGGACTTAAATTTTGATGATAGATGATTATATCAATTTTGAATCAATTTTCTTGAATTTATATATGGAGAATTCTGCAGCCTTTGAATTGTAAATACGATGATAATTTTATGCAAATTTTCAAAAAGCCAGAGCCGCGTTATTTAAATTAAAACGACAATATAGATCAGTTTCTCGGATCAAATTATAGTTGCTCAATTCATGATTTATGGAACTACCGCCGGCATGGCATCTGTTATGCTAAAATTGCGTAATCCACCAGATTAGGATTCGGGCGAGTATTTTCGTGATGCTTACAGAATCATTTCAAGCGAGCTTATGCGTCACAGCGGAAACATAACGACGCAACTGTTTATCAGCTAATGTAGGATTATCAAATAATGAATTAAATTATAGTTGAAATGTTAACTATATGTGCATCATGTTTGATGCACGATAAAATGAAAAGAAATTACAATTAAATTTAATATTATAAAAATATGTATCAATTTGTAGATTCACAGCAATCGCTTGAAACATCTAGTTGCTATTATAATTAAAAAATGTATCACGTGCTTTCGTACTTGAAAATAGCAGATGTGAAGATACTCATAGATGGTAAAATCGACAAACTTCTTTTCCGTAACACGTGGGAGTCGTTTAAGCGCCCCCGCACCGGCGATCTCTCGGTAATCCTGATTGCATTTCATTAAACAGAGCGTCTCCCTCACTTTCCTCTCATAAAAGTGTAAATCTTCAATGTCCTCGGCGAAGATCGGCGAGGAGCCTGCCGCCTCAGTTTTGCACTTTTGTCGGCACACTATCACCATACGTTTGTACATTTTATATCTGTAAAATGTAGCATATTCACGGGGAAAATCTAAATTTATTCATCATTTTTAAATATATGGTACAATCGATACAATTTTAAAAAGTTCCATTCGTATTCTGCGATATTTAACACAAGGAATTTCTCTTTAGACAAGATTTCCTTTTGTTTTAAAAGATTTAATTATTATTGAAAGTAGTGGAGAGATTTAATAGCTGATTTCTTATTAGATTATTAGTGTTTTTATTTAAATGTACACAATAATAGAATAAAATACTTGGAATTCTCTGCATGCATTTCAATTTATACAATTTTATGATATTTTTATTTTTACTATATATGTGTTATTTTCCCAAAGAACAAGGATTGAGAAATCTATCAAGGATATATATGTGTGTGTGTGTGTGTGTGTGTGTTTAACGTGTACATAAGAATGATCGTATTTTTTATTCTCTTTCTCTGTCTTTCCTTGCAAGGATATAATTTACTATATAAATTCAAAGTGCACCCAATTTAGTTTATGACTTATTACAGTACTACCGGTTTAGTATTTCAGTCAAGGCTTGATCATTTTAAAGCAAATTTAAGCTAAGAACTATAATTTGCGTTTTACAGCAATGTAGTTTCCAGCAAAAAGCTTGGACAACCACAACGACAATTGAGCTGCGGATATTTCTTATGTACGATATTTTCTAAATTATAATATCCTTATTTATATATGTAAAACAATTGTTGCTTAAATGTTGCCATGTAATTAGTCTCGATTAATTTATTTGTAACAGTAAAAATATTTAATTTATGTGATACATTTAATATATATGTATATTATATCAAAAAGTTTAGTCGATTAAACGAATTAAATATAGATTTCAATCGAAAGATAAAAACATGTTTACTTTTAAACTAAAACACGTATAATAGTAAAAATAAAAGTAATGTTTGAATATGATTAAATAATAAAAATTAATTCTATTGTTGATTAACATGAAAAATAGAGTACTCCGATGTAATTGTAAAAGATTCTTTTTATATTAATAAATCGTAGAATAAACGTAAAAAAATTATTATTACATTAATAAGCGACGGGACAGTTGTAATTACGTACCCGTGCATAGCATCGTTGAACCCCGCGACGCAGCCGTCCCAATCTTCCTCGAGATAAGCATGGACCGCGTTCTCGAAGATCTCGGCTAGCGTGCTGTTCTGTGTGTTTTGCGTCTTGTGCGGAACGGATTCGTCTGTGTCGATCTCATTGATCTCGATCCTATCGTCGGCGTGACACGCGCATATTCCGAAGAGGAGCACGAACGGAAAGACAAGCTTCATTGTCCGGCGGTTCCACTCAGTTCCATCCGATAGACCGCTTCGAGTCGCACTGAGACGACATCGTCAGGTCTGGTGCGTTCATGCGTGGGTCGCAAGTCCACATACACGCGTGCTCCCATACGAGCGATGATGTGTGGATACAGGGCGACTCAGAAGATATGGCATAACTTTCAAGTTAGTGACGTAATATCGAATGAAAGTAAATGAAAAATACAAGAGACACTAAGTAGATAAAATAAAAAATTATATTACAAAGAAATATCGTATGCAATAAAAAAATTGTGTGAAACAGTGTTGAATGAAATGAAATAAGAAGGCAACATAAAACTACAAAGAAGTATTGTGTGCGATAAAAAAATTGTATGAAACAGTGTTGAATGAAATGAAATAAGAAGGTAACATAAAACTAGAACAAATTTGTGTTGTTTATGTAATATGAAATATAAATTAACAATTTAATTAATTTGAATTTAAATTAATTAAAGTGTACTTGAAAATGTTTGAATAGTATTAAATGCGTATTGCACGCACTTTGCAATTGCTACTTTATATATTCGACTCATCAAAATATTCGTTCGTTCTAGATATCGTTATTCGGTTCAGTGGAGCCATATAGAAAGAAAGCAAACGAATTATCAATTTGATGCTTCTACAACGATTAGATGGCCTTCAAAAGTAATCATTCCATGATATAAAACGGAATAACTACTTACAAGAGTGGAAAAAAGTTTAAAGCACCAGCGTATCGGTTGAAGCTTGCTCCAATTAAGATAATTGTCGATATCGTTTGTGTCGTCGCAAATGAATACTTCTATTTACTTTTAAGTAGGATGTTCAATGAGCTATTTCTGATTATTTCCGATGTTCTGCTTCATTAACCGAAAGGAGTGTAAGTAGCCCTCATTGAGTTGCAGTGATTTAAAAGTTTATTTAATACAGATGATAGAGCCATGCAAATCAATTGGTATACTGTAATAAAAATGTTTGAATGAATTAGATCAAACTGAAGAAATATTTGCTATTGGAATTAAAACAAACTGAAACAAACCTATTTCTTGTCTGCGCGTCAGGACATTAAGTGCAGACGTTGAGCAAATAGCAGTATCAGAAAGCTTTTCTCTCCGAGTGTTCTACGTGCTTAAGTATCGGGACAAGTATTGTGTCGTAAATTATACATAATAATATGTAAAGAGGAAATATATAAACAATATATTACATATGTGACGTCTAATAGTACATTAAACATGTACACAGTAATATGGGATGCAAGAGAGGAAACTTGACGTGTATAATATCTAGATTGGTGAATTAAACAAGAGCGGGCTCGAGGCGATAAATCATTGGCATTTATACAAATCCGAATCTTGTTACAATCACACTCAAGTACAATCTTTTGCTTGCTCTCGATAGTAATACAAAAGGAACGCGTACGTGCGAAGACGACACACCTCTTCGTTCCAGCTACCGAATGCTGCAGAAGAAACAGTATAATTTCCCAACATTCGAGAAGCACTTGCGTCTCTCGCGATAAAGAAAAAGAAAGTGAAGAAAGAAAAAGAAAAGCTTTATACAGACAGGCTCGCATGTTCGTTCGCACTCTCATTCGTTTCCGACTTTTTTCGCTATGTATCACAACCGACGTAAAAAATAATGAAACAATATCTAAAGATTCATCGCGGGAACGAGAATAAATCCACAATCGTTCGTCATTTATTATCACCTAAAATCCTATTATAAATTATAGAATTGTTATTATTCTTACACAGAATTGTGTGCACAATTCTGAGCAAAGTGGAGATCGCATCTCACTTTTCCATAAATCACAATTTATTCGCGATCAAAAGAAATCTAACGCACACAAATTACGAATTCTCGCATGCATATACGCATACACACTCGCGATAAAATTAGTCATTTCGTTCGAGAGCTACGATTATTATGAGATACGCTCCACTCTTAACATTTACGATTGGCTCTCACGAGAAGAAATTCACATATAATATTAAAAGTCGTAGTCACCTCTTTTTTATCTTACTCATATCGATTAGTGGGATCACTTATGTATCTAAATGACGACAATGAAAACGACTCTCCCTTTCTTTCTCTCTCTCTCTCTCTCCTTTTCTCTAAGCGAGTCGAGAAGAAACAATGACGCTTCGTCTATGATATATAATAATAATCGTACAACTCGGACACGCTGTATAACTACGACAGCCTATGCGAACGACATTAACTACTCCATATTATACGCGAGACTTACGCGGAAACATCCAGCGTTTCCTTTAAAATTTTTAAGACTTAGTTTCCTGATTATAGTATGATCAATTATGTCATCCCGAAAGAATTGTCTAATCGTTTTACGACGCTATGTTCGCGTTACATGGACAGTAAAATACGAGTTACTTAGATGCTTATATATATATATATGCATCTACTTTTAATTCGTAGCGACGCGTCAATCTCACTTGCAGTGTTTCTCTCTTTCCTCAAAGATTCGAAAAATACCAATTATTATATGAAAACTAATCATTCTTCGAACAGCAATAAATGGAAATGATCTCAATCAACCTCAACGGCAAATTAAAAAAAATGTTTTCTTTTCTATTAACAATATAATCTTGCTGAAATTTGCAAATCGTAGATTTTGATAAACTAAGAGTGAAGTGACTTTCGCTCCGTTCATCTTTCTTATTATAAATAGCATGGCTCGCAGGAACACGTTCAGGAAACTTAGCCGCATCTTAATCGCGAGAACTTACCGTAATGATTTCAAAGTCTTAACTTAAGACATAACAGATGTCAACGTTAATATCAGCAATTGAGTAACATACAATGTGCAAAAATATACAAACAAGACGAAAGTGCGGAAAAACGGATAATAAGAACCTTGCACGACGATGCAGCATCAACGCACAATTTAATTAAAGTTAGCATCACTTCTTGCTTAGCTTAATATTAATTATCGCTCTCGTGACATTACATCGAGAATGGCCTCATCAGCTTGATTCGCATGACTCATCACTGAAGTGATAAAAGGAGTCGACCACAAAGTGTTCCGAATGAAAAAGAAAGGGAGCAATGAAATCACGCGATTTCACTCTTTAACAGAATTAAAGATTTAAATACATAAATACATAACACGAAACTTGAACATACGTACATGTACACATCGTTTTCGATCGTGCGCGATGAAAATTTCGAAAGAAAATTCAACAATGGAAAACACACATATGTGCGCGGGACGCACATTACTCTTACCGTCGCTCGCTTCAAGACACCGAATTGCTCGGCCGTCTAAAGTGCTCGACGCACCACATAGTTTTCGTCTTAAATATCCTTACGTTTAGAAGCTTAACTTTATCGCACGGCGAACGTATCGCGTTTTATTTAACTAATGAGCAACATGGACATTTAGAGTAAACTTTACCGCTATGAGCAGTGTTACGCAAAGTGGGCGCTAACATTCGTACAACTGGATGGACGGGCTGTGGAGTAAAGTCAGTGTGTAAAACTGGTATCAGGCCGAATTATGGGCAATTCTGCGATAAGAAACTTCTTCGGAATATCGAGTTGTTCTACGATGACGAATATAATTGACGTTGATGTTAATCGTAGAATCTATCAATAAGCGGAACTTTGTATTCGTAAGTAAAACCTTGCGATCGGCGTGATCGGCTCATCAAAGTATGCGACAATTTCACGAATGTTAGCGCACCATCGTTATCAATTGCAAAATGAACGGTTAGTTCCTAACTAGGTGGACATTATCGTGCTGACAAAGTTACGGATATCAAATCGCAGTGTGATGTGAACGAGTTGTACCTATGGCAGAGATAAAGCTCGCCCTTCGGGGGGGGGGGGGGAAGCAAGTTTCTTTTTCCTTTTTTCGTTGGTGTAGCGAGTAAAGGTGAATTCCAGTTCGATCGAGTGCAACGAATGTGTGTGACGGCGCTGAATATTTCGGTGAAAGCATTCTCTCAACTAATACATACGCTGGGACTAATATACAATATTATATACACAATAAATTAATAGCGGCTAATACTAAAACTTGAATGCATTGCGGTGCATACGGAGCTTCGGTCTTTCATATATTCTCTAGAATTTTCTCTAGTAGTTTTCTC